GTTTTAACACAAACTTTAATACTTTTAAAGATTGTATATGTATATATATATATATATGGATATGTGATGTGAGTTCAGGTGCACATGGAGGCTAGAGGAGGGTATCAGGTCGCTTGGAGCTGGAATTACAGATGGTCATGAACTATCTAATATGGGTTCTGGGAATCAAAGAAACACAGGTCTTCTGCAACACAATCTTAACTGCTGAACCATTTCTCCAGCTCCTGGCATTGGTTTTGTGTTTGTTGGTTTTTAAGTACAGTCATTGTATATAGTTGTTGTTTTCATAAAGTCATTGATATAGGAGTGCTGGAGTATCTTTTCAAATGGTAGAACCTTTCCTGGCTTGGGGAGATGGGGTTCTGGAAAGCTCAATGGACACCAAAACTGCTATGGAAATGTCCGGATGTCTTTGAGAACAGTGAAGTTTTCTCAGCTTGAGGACCTAAGGTACCTGAAAAGCTGAGCAGGCCACTAAAGCCATGCAGAGCCACTGGCTTTTAGACTCTTATCTCGTGAATTCAAAGAACAAAATTCATGGACCACAGAGAATGAATTTTAGAGAGTTTATTATAGGAGAGAGAGAGAGAGAGAGAGAGAGAGAGAGAGAGAGAGAGAGGAAGAGAATATGAAATTAGAGCTCCTGTACAGCAGGAGGGCTCCCAGGAAAAAGAATAGCACTGAGCTGCCAGTCTTGGGCTTTTAAAAAGGCTTATGACAAAAGAATCTGGAGGGAGGTAGGGAGGAGAATGAGCTGGTCAGCTCACTTGGCCTAGCCGGGTCTCCAGGTGCCTCCTCTTCTTCACCTGTAGGCTTTAGCAGAGGCGCTCATTAAAAAGATGACAAAGACACAGGAACTGGAGCTCTCCTCTAGCATCCCTGGTTCCAGCAAGGACATTCTCAGAACCACTGCTTTGGGGTCTCTGTGTCATCAACATCTTAATTGCAGTATGTCATGTATCTTGACTATCTTCATCCACGTAATCCCTCCTTTTATCCCCTCTACCCCTTGCCATTAGTTTCCTTCCTTTTCCTATATATTCCCTGTTACTTGAGAAATTCAGTTTCCTTCATTGAGTTCAAAGTCTCATTAATAAAAGCGTTTAGGAACAGACTCAGAAGAAGCTTGAAGACAATTTTATGCAGTTAGGAAAATCAAACAAACAAAAAAACAGACAAGCAAGCTATAAATCATGCCGACTACCAGGAGGAGGGAGATGGAGAAGAAAGTAGGCACACTGAATCTCAAGCAACTGCCTGCTGTGCGCTGGGAGCTCCTGAGAAAGAATTGGAAAACTCAGAGTGCCAGGGAGAGCTTATTTAGGTCAATATCAGAAAGATAAAAAGATAGAAAGAAAGAAGAGGAAAAGCTATACTCAGAAAGATGGGCAGGCTGCATGGTGGAGGGTCTGTAAGAGGCTGCATTAAGGGAGGGGCTTCTGGGAAAAATAAGTATATTATCTCATTAAGGAAATGACTGCTCTTCCCATCTACTTAGCATACCTTTAAGTGACTCATGTTTCCTATGACATAGTCCCCTGGTCAGGTGACTGACAGGCCCAGTTGGATTAATTCTTAAGGGAAGAGATAATAATACTATGCAATTTTCTTATCTTTGGGATGAGAACATCAGATCTCTACCTAAGACCAAAGGTAGACTCCATTCTTTTGATTAGGAGGAAGTAGCTTTCTCTTAATGGACCTCAACAAAGCCCTGATAGCTCCACCTTTATATATAGTAATTTAAGTCTTAAGGACCAGGGAAATGGGAAGTGGAGTCCAAAGCAGACAATGAGGGAGGGGTCCATCCTCAACAGTTTCCAAGCCCAATAATGACTGCCTATCTACTTAACAGTCCTACTTTTAACTTCTCTCTCTCTCTCTCTCTCTCTCTCTCTCTCTCTCTCTCTCTCTCTCTCTTTCTCTCTCTCTCTCTGATCTGCACATGAGAGAAATCATGTGGTACCTGTCATTTTACGTCTAGCTTATTTTGCTTAATATGCTGTTTTCCAGTTCAGTACCACCTGCTTTCCTGAAAATAACAGAATTCCATCATTTTTATGGCTGAATAAAACTCATTTATATAGATATGCCACACTTTCTTTATCTCTTCATCTGTTGGTAAGAATCAACCATACGTAATGATGCAGAAAACATGGATGTGCAGGCATCTCTGCAGTATGCTGATCTAGATCCCTTTGATGTTTTCTCAGCATAGTGTAGCTGGGTAGTATGGTAGTTTCGGTTTTAATTTTTTTGAGGAAACTTCATAGTGACTTCCATTGTGACTGAGCTAATTTGCCTTTCTACCAGCAGTGTGTAGCCTGTCCCCCCTGCCCCACCTAGCCAGCCATCATTTGTCATTATTTATTTTCTTAATGATATCCACTCTACTGGGGAGAGATGAAATTTCAGTGTAGTTTTGATGTTACACTGTGTGCTTATTCTTGTATATATATTTATCAAAGGTGTTCTTTTGTACAGCAGCGTAAAGGCTGATCTATTCTATAATAGTACTGCAACATCAAAGAGAAATGCAAGGAGGGGATTTTGAAAGGGAGCTATTATTTAGGTTGTGAGGGAGGAGAAAAAGTGCAGAGTTTTTCCAGAGGTGACATAAAGCTCTTATCAGAACCATTCAATGTATCTGCACAGACATGAATAAAATTTAGTCCATATATCAGTCAAAATGATTGAAATTATAAGTAACAAAATTCACCTCAAATTAATTTAAAATGGAAATGGATAGTTTCAAATGCCTGGAAAATCCAGATGTAAACAGATTTCAGACATGGCTGGGTTCAGACTAAGCAAGATGCACAGACTTCTGTTTCATTTCTATGCTCTATTTTTCCCATTTTGACACCATTCTCAGGCTCAGAGTCATGAGTCCTGAGATTTCCAGGACCATAGCTGCTACCATCACATTACAAAAGAACATCTCTTTCCATAAGCACCATTAAAGAATACATTAACTTGACTAGAGTTGTCCTAAATCAGGTGACAATCTCATTCTTCAGTTGAGGTCTGTGGGAAGGGGCTGTGATCATTTTAAACCAGGGTCACATGTGCTTATCTGATTTTGCATAAGGCTTACCTAACATCGTCCACTCAGTGCACATGAAGTGAAGTGCTGTATAAGATCTAAATTAAGACTAAATATGTGTACTGCTTTGACATCTGAAATCAGGATACCATCAGCACACTAACTTCAATTACTTTCCTCCATTCTGACCTGGACACAGGTCTGCTATCCAGTCCTCTATAGAGGGTACGATCCAGAGTTCTGCTTAGCCATGAGTAGTGGCTTTCAGTTCCTGACAATTCAAAAAATTCATTCCAACAAACTAGTGGCATACTCTTATGGGGAGCCAGGAGGTATCTCATTCTCTGAATGCTCCAAAACCTGCCTCTCACAGTTCCTTGCTGTCTATTGTTTTAAAGTTTAGCATCTGCTTAGCCTCCCATAATGTCTAGTGTTACTAATAAGATATTATTGAGTTTGTGCATCTACTGGTAAGTGTTAAATTTGGCCATCCCCATAACCAGAGGACAGGAACTCATTGCTCATAAGTAAGGTGAATAAGAAGCATTAAAACAAAAGGACAGTTCCACAGAAAGGATAGATGAATGCAGAGTAAGCCCCACCACTGAAGTAAATTCCAATTCACGATCACATTTTAATCCAAGGATTCCCTCTGCCTAGAACTTCAGAAAGAACAAAGAACATTTGCTTCAGGCCATTACAACTTCAATTCAGAACTCCTTCCTGCAGCAGAAGATTAAGACTGTAGAAAGAATAACCAAAACTGATGATCTCAGTATATTAGATATTTTATCTATTCAATACCTTATATTAATATTTTCCTGCATATGTGACCTAGTATACAGTTTATTTATATCATGTATTAATATTTAAAGCAACTGTTAATAGAATGGAACACCTGTGGGTAATGCTAATATACTTTTTGCCTATAGAATGTTATACATTTTCATCATATGCTAAAATACAAAAGAGTATCTTTTAATAATTCTGCTGAATCTTTCATTAATATAGATATTGTATAACACTGAAGTTTTTTTATGTGGTTATATCTTTAAGAGTCTACACAGAAATGAAGATTAGAACTCAATATTTCAAATTATATCACTACAAGCTGACTATGGTTGCTTGATTCACTTCTCTGGATTAAAATTTTGATGTAAACTCATTATATTATTATTTAAGAATATAAATCCAATTCTTTTACTTAAAAATTAATTTTTAAATTAATTTAATTTTTAAATTTAAATTAATTTTAAAATTTTTACAGAAAGTGCAAGCAGTTAACTACACCTAGAAAATAAGAATAAATAAAGTGGTTTACAATGAGAATTTTTAATTTTTATTTTTAAATTAATTTTTAAGTTCTCAGACTGATTTTTATCTCTAGAAGGTCAATGAAGTGTTTTACATTTTCTATAGGGCACAGGTGAAGGTGCACTGGGGCTCTAGAAGAGTAATAGGGAAATGATGGAAAACCTCTTGGTACCTGGGAATGGGAAAGGTCCAACATCAAGGCCTGGGCGCCCAGGACTATATGTGGGGTCAAAACCATAGCTGACTATCAAGGGAGGTGGGAAGTCCATTCTTAAGAATCAGTCCTCCCAAGAATAGAAACTGCAAATGGCAGAAACCTCCCCTGTCCTCAGCATAAGTCCAACACGATTGCAAAACCACTTCCATGCACAATCTGGGACCTCGGGGGAGGTGGTTCTGAGGAATGCACCTCACAGGAGGAGATCCTAGCTCCAGGTTTATGGAAGGGGGGGCCATAGATTTAGGATCATGGGAGGGCACCACAGCTCCAGGTTCACAGAGGCAAATAGTTCCACGCTCACAGGAGGGAACAACAACGCTGGGTCACTGGAGTGTGGTGGGGAGGGGACTACAGCTCTAGTTCTCAGGAAGGGAACAAAACTCTGGATCATAGGAGGCAACCACATCTTCTCTTTCGTAGGTGACCACAGTTCCACTGTGTCAGGTTCATGGAAGGCAACAACAGTTCCAGGCTCACAGGTGAGGACCATACTTCCAACCTCATGGTAGGGGACCACAGCCCTGGGGCGGGGGTCAGTGTTGGTGACCACAGTTGGAGGCTCATGGAGAGGGGGTCATAATTTCAATTATGCTGGTTCCTACTATTTTCCTATACTTGTGTTTAAGAAAAAACAGCAAATACAGGCAGCAGTTACTTGCTGACTTGAATTTCTCTCTAGAGACACATCAATATTGGAGAAAACTCCCATTCCACTTTTGCTTAAGGAGACAGCTGTATTGCGTATTTCCTTTTTTATGGTCAAGGATTGATTGTATTTTGTTGTTGTTGTTTCTGCTGTTTTCACAACTTCATCATGGCCAGGAGGAAGTGGTGATGAGACATCTTACTGGAGTCAAGTTTTAAGTCTTCCTACAGCCTGTCATGCCCGTGCCTCTCCACATCAAGATCTGGTGTTCCACCATTTCACTAGTACCAGTGGCCACACCACTAGCTTGACTACCCAGTTACTTTCTTTTGTACTTGCCAAGATTGAGTTCAGAAGTTTGAGCTCAACATAGAAGTGCATAAGGTCAGGAAATTATTTGTTATGTGGGATAAGCTTCCTCACATGATCTCGTGCATGCACTCAGTCTTCAGGAGCTGCACACTGCACGCCCAGAGGCCAGCTACCTGGGGTATCCCTCATTTCACCATCTTCTCTCTAAAAACAGAATTTTGGCTTCTGTACTGCAAGCAGAGTGAATAGTTACTTGCTGGCTTGAATTCCTCTACACCAAGAGTTGATACTCTCTTCTTTGCTCTGGTGCCCACAGGTGCACCAATGCCGTCTTGGCTCCCTAATCTCTTTCTCTCTCTCTCTCTCTCTCTCTCTCTCTCTCTTCTTTCTTTCTTTCTTTCCTCTCTCTTTCTTTCTTTTCTCTCTCTCTTTCTCTCTTTCTTTCTCTCCTTCCTTCCTGCCTTTTCTCTTTCTCTCTTTCTTTCTTTCTTTCTTTCTTTCTTTCTTTCTTTCTTTCTTTCTTTCTTTCTTTCTTTCCTTCTTGCCAAGTACTAATTCACAATTTTGAGATCAATATTAAAGCCCCTAAAGTCAGGAAAATATTCATCCTGTGTAATAAGTTTCCTCACATGGTCCTGCACACACATTTAGCCTTTGGGAGCTAGTACACCCACTAAATTAGTTGTTTAAAAATGTTTTTTAAATTAAAAAAGGGGTTGGAGAGATGGCTCATCAGTTATGAGCACTGGCTGCTCTTGCAGAGGACCTGGGTTTGGTTCCCAGCACCTACATGGTGGCTACCAACCATCCTTAACCCCAGTTCCAGGGGATCCAACACCTCTGTCCTGGGTAGGCATTGCACACATGTGGTGCACTTACACACATGCAGGCATAATACTAATAAACATAAAATAAAAGAAAAAGAAAATATTTTTATCAGATAAAAATTTTGTTGTCTCTTATCATAAAACCCTCATCAAAGAGTATTAGCTTCAAATTTTCTGATGTAAAATATTAAATTTTGTAAGACTAATGTTTAAACTACTCATGTCTTCTTTAAAGTAAGGTATGGTAAAAAAAACAAAAAGCAAACTTCTAATATTGGTCTTTGTCACCTTCATTACATATGTCCTAAATGAGCCTGTTTTCTAAAATGTGTGATTCAAGTTATAAAAAAAATGGTTATATGAATTTTCTGCACATTTCTTGTTATTCAACTGGGACTAATTATTGCTGTAAAAGTGACAATAACCTACAACACGTAGCAAAATAGTGCAGATTGGCTGTGCTTTTGAGGTCATCAAAATCATTATTCAAGGATACCTACTAATAACTATGTAAACATTCTGAGATTTTCTCTATTACCATTTAAAATTCTATTTTTTTAATTCTATGTGCATGAGTGTTTTGTCTGCATATATATGTTACTCTTGTTCTGCAATGCCTATAGAGGGCAGAAAAGTGCATTGGATCCCCTGGAACTGGAGTTACAGACAGTTATTAGCCACCATGTGGGTGATGGGAAATGAACTGGGTCCTCTGCCAGAGCAGCCAGTGCACTTAATCACCAAATCATCTCTCCAGCCCCTCTATCATCTTTAATACATACTATCCTAAAGAATTTTGTTACTTATTTAATTGGATGAATGTACCTGGGTGTCAGTAAGGGGGAGTATTTTATTTCCAACAGCAAAAGCAATCATGATATTTTAAGTATGATGGAGAAATACAGATGTAGCTATTGCTATTTCAGATAATGTTTCCTTAAAATAGTCTCTATTTAATTCTTTTTAAATATATGTTTTTATTGATTTTTTGAGCATTTTATACAATACATCTTAATAATATTTAGACCCTCTCTCATATCTGTAACCCCCATAGACCCTCCATCAGATTTCATGCAGTGTGAGCTCATCTACTTGGCGCTTAGCTTATCTAGAGATAGATCTACTATCCCTCATCCAGCAGTGATCAGCTGTCAATAGTTTCTTGGGTAAGGTTGGGGCTTCTTGCCCATTACCATGGTTCTATGCTAGGCTTCTGTTTGGTTGAGTTTGCATGGACCTTGTGCATGCTGTCATCATTGCTGTAAGTCAATTGTATGAACAATTTCCCAGAAGTCTAGAAAACTCTGTTTCCTTATGGTCATCCATCACCTCTGACTCTTACAGTCTTTCTGCCCTGTCTTCCACTCTAATTCTTATTGGGTCACAAGTATTTCGATTATTTAAAAATAAATGGTCTTAGGTGGAAAATTGATTAATTATGTGCATTAGTATAATATTCTGACATAAAGTACCATATGGGGACTTAGGGATGTTTCATATTACAGACTGAGAGATTCAAAACTAGTGAAACATCACCAAATTCTGTAAGGCTCATAAACTGTATTTTAAAATCTGTTAGTATTTAAAAACATGATTATCTGCTCCCTAGTTCTATTCTGATAATTATAGACATAATTAAAATATAATTACAAATAAAATAGCATGCTACTTAAAATTCCTGTATTCTTAATTGTCTTCTAGACAGTTGCCTTTTAAATTTACATGTTCCATAAAAATCAAATCCTTTGAAATATAAGCAAATCAACAATTCTACGTGAATAATTTTGGAACATTTTTGGAAAAGAACATGTGTGTGTGTGTGTGTGTGTGTGTGTGTCTGTGTGTGTGTGTGTGTATGTGAAAACAACAGTTCCTAATTGTCTTGACTAAGGAAGCACCGGTATCAAATATTCTCACATGTCAGAGTCCCTCTTGTATCTATCACTCTTGTGAATTAGTGATGATGTGTTTAATGTTTGCTAATATATGTGATTTCCCCGATCTTTGAAGCCAGTGATGTAGTATCTTTAAATTTCAGTCTGACTCTGACACTCTTGCTTCATTCTGCCCTTTTGGCTCTAGATAATTTCCATTTATTATCTCACAGAATCTGAGCAAGCTTACCAAGATCCTCTTTTTCCTAGTCTCTCATGAGGTTCCCATCAAGGTTTTATTGAGCTAGGGTCTCAGATGGAAGCTCAGCTGGAGCATGATGTGCTTCTAAAATCTTCTGGGTGTTAGGCAGTTATTCCCTAGGCTAAGGCAGGTTAATTCCCAGGATAAAAATGCCTTTGAAGCTGGAAATGGTGGTACACACCTGTAATCCCAGGACATGGGGAACTGAATAAAGAAGACAGGGACTTTGAGGCTAGGTGCATGTACAAAGCAAGGCCCTAGGCCTATCTTTAAAAAAAGGAAGCTTTTGAATATATTGAGCCTATCTGGTTAATTCAAGATGACCTTTCAATAGCAAAATCCTTACCATAGTCACATTTGTAAAGTTCTTTTTCCATATAATGTAGCATATTTACAGAAAGTTCATTATGGATATCTGTAGGGAGTAGGTAGCCATACTGTTAGCCTATGAATCTCTTTTTCTTTCTCTCTCTGTTTCTACAATAAACCCAAGTATAAGGAATACAACAGTGTAAACAATAGGATTAAAATGAATATGATTTTATTTGCATCTTATTATTTAGTTTAACTGTTGGTTGATAATTTTCTAAATGTTTCAAAAAAATTTTAGTTAATTCAGGACTGTGCCAGGACCTTGAGTGTGAGACATATGTCTATGAAGGAACTATCCATCAGTTCATATACTTTACCTCTGAAATATCCATCACTCCCATCAGAGAACATAGTACTTGGCAATAAGAGTCACCTAATTCCTATGTTACATGTACTCATGTATTCATCAAACAAATATTTGTGGATTATGTATGAAATATAAAACATGAATAACATATCCTAATGTTATTTCAAGGAAACTGTTGCTTAACAGAAGACCTATAAATACCTAAATATACTGTAACCTAGTAGGTGCAATGACAGAAATGTGTTTCAGGTATTATGCAAGATCTGAGGGAGGGTTCAAATCCAGCAAAGTGTGATTAGCAAAGGCTTCCAGAGTTGCTGACTGGAGAGCTGCAACAAACAAGACAGTCTGGGAAAAAAATATATATGCTAGAAAAAAACCTGAAATGTTCCTTCAGGACTAGGGATATATCTCCAATTCAACTTGACAAAATAATTCCTGAACTCTGATGTATGCTAGGGAGAAGTACGGTGACCTTTGAGAACATTTAATATATATACTTTCCCTTGTCAAGGGGATTAGACAAAGCTTCACTGAGGAAGTTACAGACATTAAACAAGTAATTACAAGTGTGATGAGTGCTGTGGAGCGATACTATGGTAATGCGGGGAAAAATAATTTAACCTAGTCAAGAGGGTCAGGGACTGACACACTAATAAATTCATGATTAAATTGAGACCTACTGAACAAGTAGGATTTAACAAATGAAAAAAAAAGAAAAAAAAGTGGGGCAGTGAGATATTCAGTATGGCAGGAATGTAGAGAAGGAGGAAGGGGGAGGCTGGATTTAAGCCAAGGAGAGCTATTTGTAAGGATTTATGAATTGGTTAGGATTTTTAGCATATCATAGATTCACTGATGAACTGGTGTTAAATTTTAAATTTGGAATAGACATGATCAGATTTCTAGTTCTAAAGGATTCTCTGGTCATAGGATATAGATTACATTAGATATACTTGCTGTTAGAAAAAAGATAGGAAGCTGTTAATAATATCAAAATAATACTCTAATATGCTGGATAGCATGAGTGGGTATATTTAGAAGATAAAGTATTTATTTATTAAATCCTCATGTAAAAGGCACTGTATCCCAGGACGGGATCAGGCACGGTACAATACTTGGCACACAAGTCTTCAATGCTTTTAAGGTGATTAATTGTTTGATCCAGAGGAGCAAGGGACAAAGTCATGGAACCAGTAGGGAAGTTTTATACAGGTGTAATTCCAGTGTCTTAAACAGTGCTCTAAGCATGTCAACTTTGTGTTTTAGTTGTCCTTTAGTGACCAGTAGATAAATGGAAAGCAGATAAGATTCTAGATAGAAGTTAAGAGGTTCTTGAAGTAGTTGATATATGTTGGACTGTGAACCACTCTGGTTCACAATAGGAAA